TCTACCAGAAACTCCCTGTCGTCGACCATTTTCGAGCGGCGGCCATTTTCGGGGACTCCCCTGTCTCCAATCTCCCCGTCCCCGTCCCCGACTCATTTTGCTCTCCCCGCATAACAATACTTTAAACTTTGAGATGGGAGAACGCAACATAATAGAACAGTTTGTAAAGAATGAAAGCGTAGTACAGAACAGATGGAATAGTTGGAAGGTCAAAAAGAACAGAACCGTGCGGCAAAAGTGGATGACGGAAATATCACTACTTATGATATCAAATTTTTAAACCTTGGTGTGAAGATATTTTCTTTTCTAGAGGTGATTTTCAATTATCTCTGTAATTCAAATTTTCGGTAATTCAACAAGTAGAACAGATATGAGTGTATCGAAAAACATCCCGAACAGTTTGAAACTTCGGTTCAGATGTGTTCCCCACTGGATGTGTCTCAGAACCGATAGAAAAACTTTTTATGAATTCAATCTCAGAATTCAAATGAATCTCAGAACCGATAGAAATAGAAATAACAGAACGTTGTTATCGTGAGTTACATCACTCTTCTGTAGTCAGTAGGCATAATCACTGTGATCAAATAGCGAATATTTGATGAAAATAAAAAAAAAATCACAATCAATGGTCATATCACGATTTCGCAAAAAAACTCAAAATTGTCGGGCGACAGAAACAAAACTTTACGGATACTTCAATTTGTCAATGGTCACTACCTACTGCCGAATATATTCAGAAGTTAACCAAGAAGAAAGATGACCTCCAGTCAGCGAAATCGAGCCCCGTCTTCCACACTTGAGTGCGACTCACTAAGCACTAGGCCATGGTGCTCCTGACCTAACAAGTTTAAATGGATATCTCAGTGCACTGGTGATTTTTTCCTTCCACATCTGGTGTTCCCTAGGTATCTCGCAGAATCTTTTCGGATATTCACGATCAGCTGGAGGATCTTTACAGGATTCAGCCTCTCTTTATTAGTCCAGAAATTTAACGCGTGCGTTCTGGAAAGAGTGCCACTTTGTTTGGCACACGGTGCGTACCGAATTGTACGACACTCAAATTATCGCGAAATGCACAACATGCACATCGTATGCGTATAGCAGAGCATACGGTAATTTATGAAGTTGTTGATCTGGTTGTACGTTTACATGAATGCGCTGTTGATTTGTTGTTTTTTATTATTGGAATTGATTTCTTGAGCCGTTGATGCATTCATGTTCTAATTCGGTTGAAATCTCTTTGGTACTGAATTTTTTAGTACTTCAAGGTTTTCATTAGGTCGTGTTGTGCATGTCTAAAATGTCCGGTTCATGTTGTGAATGCTCGGTGGATCGTTTGAATGGTTCCACATTTTCGTGTATCTTCCGTTACTGGCATTTTTGCTGATAACGGCCGCCACTGCGTGCATGTGCTTAGGTTACCGCTTTACGCCATGTGTAGATATGCAATTCTAAGTCAGATCAGGAGTATGCTTAAGCTTAGACTTACGCTTAGCCCAGTGATAAGGCTAACGCATACGCTTCGACTAATGTATGAAGCGTATGAGTACACGAGCATCTGTGATGGTGCGGTGGCGCCCGTTATCACCAACTCAAGAAACCCAATTGCATAAAAAAAAACCCAATTGTAAGTGTTATCATTTTCCGGGCACGACTTATACATTGGACTGTCATCGATTAGTTACAAAACATTTTCACCAAAATTTAGACCGGACGAGGCGTTAGGAATCACAGTTCTTGCATTAAATGGGCCAAATAGATGTTGTGAACTCATTTTTGCATCTAAACGAATTAGTCTATTTGCGATAGTATTCAGTCGTGTAGCGTAAAAACCGAACGAAGGTCTGCAATGTTGGAATTTCTTGATAATTGATGATCTGCAATGTTGGAAATTTCGGTACTGGCGCTGTTCAGTAACTACACCCGGACGCAGGTGCACGCGCACTTACGCGCACGGACTTAGACACGCCCACTGTGCGTCTGCGCACAGCCGAAGCATGCGCTTGAGCCTCACCACTTGGGTAAGTAAAAGTGTCACCCAATTGTTGACTCTGGATTGCATGGCATTCACATTTGAGTAGGGTAATGTTGAATGTGATGAACGAGTGGTTGGAGAGAAAATAGCCGAGAAAAAGACAATACAGAGAAGCGTTAGCCTCATCACTGAACTAATCAATGGCATAAACTTACTTAGTCGTACCAATGTATTGGAGTACGACAACGTTGTACGATCATAGTCATAAAATAAAATTTCAAAATCGACTGAGTCACTCGCGCAGGTCAGTGATCATACTTCAGGGTGATGAGTATGCTTGAGAGTGACGAATTGCCGAAGCCCATGCGTTAACCTCATCACTGGGCTAAGCGATGGCCTAATCTTAAGTGTCCTCATATGGTTTATGTGAACGGCGTTCATAAATGAAATCTCAAAATCAGCTGAGTCACTCATTCGGAGTGATATGTAACGCGTAATATAACGGGCGTGGCCCAAAGCGCGCATGACAACGTGCGGCGGTGTAGTTGAAAGCGCAAGTGGCAATGCACGCTTGTCTGTGTGCGGGTGTAGGGACTAAACAGCAGCAGTGCCGAATCTTCAATTTCGAAAGCATAATATAACTTTATCTCGCGACGAAAATTAAGCTTTTGTGTCTAACTTTTTCGAGTCGAGCGTAATATTTGTTTTAAGGCCGCTGGGTATTGAAGGCACATCAAGAACGTGCAATAATGACTCAGCAAACGCCCTATATTGGCAGTAAGATCAGCCTCATATCTAAGTTGGACATTCGTTATGAAGGCATTCTTTATACTGTAGACAAAAATGAGTCAACTATTGCTCTTGCCAAAGGTTTGTTTCTGGTTTTTTTTTTCGTGTTGCTTCTGTTCTTCTGTATATGTCAATCCTTCATCTATTCAAACAATCAAATGATTGCCCTCTTTTCATGTTGTGTTAAAAATTCGCGTTGATAATCATTTCCAACGTACACATTCATGTGTCTCATGAGGGAAGAATGTATTGATGTACGTCGTCGTCATAATGTCTGGCATTGCAGTCCGTTCATTTGGAACAGAAGATCGTCCAACTGTTAATCCAGTACCAGCGCGTAATGATGTTTACGATTATATAATCTTCAAAGCGAGCGATATCAAGGATCTTATAGTATGTGACACGCCTAAACCTGTCGCACAGTTAAGTAGTGGCTTGCCGTACGATCCTGCAATTCTCACTGTTTCATCACAGAGTCACGTTCTACCTCCACAGTCAAATGATGCTGTCAGTAATGTCAATCTCATAAGTGCTGGATGTTAGTTTCATATTTTCCAACACATTTTTCATATTGCCAAAAACTGTCAGATATCCATCTTGTTATTCGTTCCAACTAATTCTGCACTTTGCTCATTTATTTTATCTGAGAACGATTCACATCCCCCACGGTGAATCTTCATCATTTAGTGACATATCGCAGTTTCTTGCTCTCATTTTGTGACCTGATATTTTTTAAGGTCATCAATGTGTTGTCAAATTTTCTTTATCTTTCTTTCGTAGCCTTCACTTGATGGTGGGAAATTTTCGAAAATTGCGAGCGTTTATTAAGAGATTTGGAAATGTGAAAAACTGGCCAATATCTTATGTCGTTAATGGGTGAAATTATTCAGCATCGAGATCAGAGACGCCAACTCAAATAACGGTTGGTGTTGATGAAGGCCAGGAAGGTGCATTATCCCAAGTTTCGTCGCGTGCTCCGGGTTCTGGTCGCGCAGTTCGTAGTAATTCGGTGACCGATGAAGCACTACACGCTCAACATGCTTTCCATCATCAAAAAATTCGCCAGCCAACGGGAGCGCCACTCGCGGCTCGAGCGCCGCTTACCATGGGCACCCGTCCGCCAGGTTTGGTTCCAAGTTTGTCAATTGTCTTTTTGTTGTCCCTTTCCGTCGTCAAATGTAATCCGGTTCCATATTAATTCACGGCATTTGTTTCGTTGATTGACAAACATTTTGTTTTCGCACCGTTGATGCCGTCCGACTTTGAGTTATTGCATGTAAGGGTTCGCAAGTGAATACAAAGCCCAAAAGCTAAGTAATTTAAACCAATTTCGCTTCGTTGCCTCCTTCACTCTGCCCTTCTTTTGTTTTTCCGTTACATGTTCGTTTTTTTCCATTTCAAGGTAAAATTTTAATCATCTTGTCGATCCTAGTCTTGAATACTCAAAATGATGAACACTTTCTAAAAGCCTTCAAGCACTGCTTTTTAAAACGCACTGTGGCTGTGGTTATTTAATATGCACTTGAAGAATTCGTTCAATTAATTTAACATTTTTGTGGTTCAGTAGCTCACAGTTATGATTTTTTTTTTCATTCTTCACCTTCCGCGTCTTTTGTTGCTTTCCAGTGCGAAGTATGATTGTATAAGAACAGTCTCAAGCGATTCTGTCATGCCTCTTGGTTGTGTCTGCTTCTTGAAAGGAAATCCATACCGAAATGTCATGTTAAAACTACCTTATCTTTGTTGCACTTCATACTTAAAACTAGGAATGTTTCAGTAATGCAACAAAATTATCGCAATATGGGCCCACAGCCAGCAGGTTTCGGTCAGAGACAAATTTATCGCGGAGGACAAAGAGGTGCTGGAAACTACTACCAGCGAGGATACGTTGGTGGTTGTTTCTCTAGGGGTCAGCGTGGAGGTGCCATGGGTAAAACCCAGACGCCGAAGGAGCGTTTCAAATATGACACCGATTATGATTTCGAAAAGGCTAATGAGCAGTTCCAGGAAACGTTGAACCATTTAGCTAAAGATCTCAAGAAGACGAAACTTGAAGGTATGTTTCAGAATAAGTTTTGAGTAAATGTTGCACTTTTAATGTAATGGTTGATATCGTTCTGGAGCGATAGCAAAGTGTTGAGCGTTATGATATTCATTCAAAAGATCATTTGTAGAAGGCGGATCTGAGAAGGGCTCGAATGCATCAGATGCGGGAGCGGACGTAGTCGATGAAGGGGAAGTGAATGAGAGTTGTGAGGAGAACAAAATTCCAACCACTTATTACGACAAAAGTTCATCGTTCTTCGATAGGATCTCGTGTGAAGCCTTGGAAAAACAGGAAGGGTGAGTTTTATGAAAAGGAGATTACTATCCTTTGCTGTTCTGAGTGTATTTTTCTTAATGCCAGCCGAAATATTTAATCATGGAACTTCTCAGTTTTTACGACTATTCTTCAAATTGATTTGATAGATTGCTAATAATCTTTAGTCGAGAAATTTTTGTTCTGTAGGAAGGTTGTGGTTAAAATTAAAACATCTCTCTCTACTGGTTGTCTCATTGTATTGAGAAAATCATGTGTATTGGATGAATCATGATGGATTTACTTAGCATAGTTTAGTGGTAATAGTTGAATTGATGTGAGTGTGATTTTGATCACGATAACAAATCCAGGAAACAACCACGAACCGATTGGCGCAAGGAACGTGAAACTAACCAACAAACGTTTGGCCATCTAGCTGTTCGCTCGTTAGCTTATCGCAGGGGACGTGGTTATCAGGCTGGCAGGAACATGAGGGGCGGAAATAATCTTTATCGTTGTAACAATAGTTCGTTTCTTTTGAATTAGTTATTTTTCGGTTCCACGTGTTGATATTGTGGTGACGTTTTATTATGAGAGAGACTAATTCACAAAACAAGTGATCAACTTTTTATACGTGGTTCTGATTCTCAAAGAAGTAATAAAATTGTGTACTAATGTTCAGATTTCAATTATAATGGTCAGCGTGCTGGCTTCGGTTTTTACCAGAATGGTTATCATCGACGTGGAGGTCATCGCAACCATACCATTAACGAGTGATTGTTATTGATCTTTGTTTGAATTGGCTCACTTTTTGTGGGTTTTATTGAACTGATGGATATGCTTGCTTGTTCATTATTTCCTTATTGGTTGTGTCACTGCATTCAATCAAGTTTTTGTGAATATTTTGAAGCGATTTCGTTCTTATTTATTCTATTATCTCTAGGCCTAGATGATGTATTGGCGTTAACGCTCGTGTGAGCGTTCATTTGAGATTTTATGTTGAATATCAGCAACAAACATTGTTTAGGGTAGGTGGAGTATCCATTAAATTCAACATTATCAGTGATTCATTTAGCTAAAAATGTTGACGATCTGTTTGACGACGATTCCAGATGATAATGATTAATTTAATTGATATGAATGTGCTGCTGGAGATATGTTTGAGTGATTAATTGTTTGGTAATTCTTTCAGTGCTACTTAAATGATTCGAAAATTATCCGTGCTTTCTCAAGTTGTAACACCCTACCTTATGCGCGTATGAGATTATAGTTTGAATTTTTGTGCATCTTCATTGAAAGTTTGAATTTGATCAGCCCGTTTTTTCGTTATAGTTTGAGCATGATCGATGCACTGGCGTTTTGCGCTAAGAGTGAGCAGCACTTCAGCAGTGCAATGTTTCGTCACAGTGTATTTTCATGCTTGAGTTTGGCTGGGATATTGCTGCTTTAGTTTTGACATGGTAAGTGCACTAGCAGCGTGCATCGAAACAGAACAAAGAACAGTGGTCAAATTTCTTTGGTTGCAAGTTCTCTGTCTGCTTACTCACAAATTTCTGAAACCGTGCTTACATATTTCAGCATGGTCGAACCCTACTTCTGTATTACACTGAAATTCCCTAGTGAATTTCAGCTCTTGCATTCCTTCTGATCAGAGTAATCGGGGATGGCACGATCAAGTTCAGGTTTTCAGTGATCATGCCCAATTGTACAAAATGTAAGCTCTTAAGCGCATGAGGTGGAAGGTTGAATTGGAAGGTATTTTGTTGCTAATGTGCGGATAATTTTTCATTTATCCATGTGATCCATGACTCGCCGTCATGATCAATATAACTGATAATGTCAAAAATTTCGTTCGTAGTTAGGGTCCCCCATTCCCAATTTTCAAGTCGAGTGAGACTTTTGTCGTGATCTCGGCTTCTTCATTTCCCTCGTTTCATTCTCCTATCTTCCAACCCATCAAATCTGGAAAATTTCTTTGTGATCTCAGCTGTAAGCCAAGTGATAACTCGTTATTGTTGTTTAATGGAGGTGTGGGAGTGATGTGCACATGAACGGTTTCATCAATTCATTTGCCTTACTTTACTATCTGTTGTGATTGTGTCAGTAAGGAGTTGCGGATCATTTTTATTTAAAAGGTTTTATTATTAACACTAGTTATTGCTCTTCGTCATTAATTTTTGTTTTAATTCAGCAACGTCTGTTGTTTGCAGTTCCAGCGATTTCTCATAAAACTGAATGAATGGAACGTTGATTGCGTCTCTGAGAAACGTTAATGAACTGCAGTCTCTTCTAACTGCCAAAAAACGCTAGGTTAGGCTCATCTCACTTCTGAGGCTATGTCATTGATAGTGCCAGTAAGGTAATGAAAAGGTTTTGACGAATGATACATTAGTCTAAATAGTTCTTGAGATAGAGACTTATTACTGAGTAGTAGGTTTTGTCAGTAATGCGCCCGTCACTTATTTTTTTAAAGTAATCTGCAAAACGGCGTGTCGCTTCAACAAATTGTTGTTGCTTCAGTTTCTCATTTTCATATGAGTTGAGGTTAATTTTAACTGGCATAAATGTTGTTTTGGTTGAAAGCAGTAGTTTGACTGGCCAGTCTCTCTGACAACACTCCTTAATCACTGTCGTTATTATAATTTTGCCGAATTTTTGATGTTTTTATCTAATTTTATATTTAGAATATCGTTTTCTTGAATAACAATTTGTCACAGTACCTTCACCAAAGCATTCTTCGATTTGAGGTTCAGATAAGAAATGTTTGTAACTTTAAATGCTTGGGCAAGTGCAACATTACTAAACTGTTATGCGTCAGTTATATTTTTCCGAGTTTAAAGCCACTGAATTGAAAGAGGAGAAATCAATTATGGCTGGGAGTTGTTATTCAGATTGTGGATGAGTTATTTGTTGTATAAAAACAGCATTGATTATGTTGATCAAATGTCATCAATGAAAATCGCTGTATTGATTTTGTTTAATGAATGATCTGAATGAGTTCTTCTCTGGATGTTTTTATTGTTGGTTGCATTCGTACCACCTTTTAATTATTTTTTTAGTTAAAGCATGCTGGTAATGCCTGTATTGCTTATGATCTTGTGTTGTTAGCACCTTTTTGTACCACAACAGATGCCAGTCAGCGTGCATATCCGCTTGCGAGTGATTTCTAAGCGAACAGCCAAGGAATCAGAAAGTCAACTCAACGGCAACATATTCAACGTAGCGCAGCAACATGTTGGGCAGTGATTCTTAATCTTGCGAATGTACGGAACGTCTGAAATGATGTTTATATGTTTCTAAGGCTGAAAATAAATTGTTATTTATTTTCATCGATAGTTCATTTTCAGTATATGAACGACATATTTAAATTAAAGATTTTATCGTCAATCACTGTTCGTCGAATGAGCAGTGCTGCTTGAGAATCGGTACGAAAAGGATTCTGCAGGACTTCAGTTGAGCATATGACATTGCTTGTGGTGTAATTCGTGCGCTGAAGGCGTCTTCTAACGAATTATTTGCATGAACCACCTTAGGCGTGATTGCTACAGCTTGAAGCGTAACTAAGTTGTAAATAATCATGTAGTCTAATCTGTCGTGAAGCTCCGAACTGCTTGAGGTACTTCAAGGAATTTTGATATCAATATGCTGTATTTACATGATGTTTTATGCTATTCAATCAGTAGTACTCGTTCCTTTTAAAATGAATTTTTTAAGTGAACTTCTAGAAAGATTGTTTTCATGCAAAAAGCTTTTTTTTGAGAAATGAGATCTGAAGTTTTTGGAATTCTATTTTTCCTCATGCAAGTCTTCACCTGTTTATGTGTACAACTGGTTATAGAAGACTTTCGTGGTGCATGTTGGTTATGTGACAAGCGTTGGGGGAATAGACTTTATTTGTAAATACTATTAAGAACTTGATTGCAATACGGCCAGCATTGATTATCACAAAATAGCAGTTTACATAGTTGCTAAGAAGACATCGGTTGATCACTCGAAGCAACAATTTGAAAATATTGATTCTTCATCAGTCAATGTGAATGAATTACTTATTATAAAAGAATTAGTTAACAATATCGCTATTTTCATTAGTAATTGACAAAAATTGAATTGGCAAATAATGGAAGACGTTGGCATTAATTTTGCATGTATGAAATGTTTCTAAAGGTGACGAAAGACCGATCCAGTATCAAAATATTGTTATTGGTGAAGTAATTAGACTTGCTAAAAATGGCTGGGTGTCCTCGATGAGATTCGCGTACAAATAGCATCAGCAGAAACGAAGACGTCGGAAGAGAAATGCTAGATAATTGACTCAAGCAATACCAATCTCATGGAGTGATTAATTGGTTTGAAATGCAAGTTTACAAATGAAGATGACCTCGGTCATACGACAGTCGCTAATTATGCGGCACGAGAGAGTGCGATAAGACGTTTGCCATTGCACGTTTTGCAGTAGAGATGTTGATCAAGAGGATAACAACTGAAATCGTTCATAAATTGAATGGACCTCATCTCAAATTTGAATGCAAACTGTTCGTCGACGAATATTCAAAAAGGCTCGACAATCCCAAAAGCAAACGCCTACCCTTCGCCATCCAGCTTCGAACTAAGTTGCACATTGCAGTCCTCGCATCGATAACAGTTCACATGAAAACTTTTATCCATTGCAACTACACGCACTGATTCTTTCTCTCCTTCTTCGGGTATGATTGGCTGCGAGCACATAGCACAACGTGGTGCAAACTTTCTGCAAAAATCACTTTCAAACAAGAAGAGTCACTTTAGATGCAAACGGCCGTGTACAAGCAGCATTTCTTGGATTATAGATTATGTAGCCTGATGAAAACTTGCAAAAATCTGCGAGTTTATTTAGAGGCGGCAGTTTTTGGAAATATCAACTTCAACGAAATTTTGGGAACAAAACGATAGATGAGTGGGGATAGCCCTCTATCACCGTTCTTTTGAGCCAGTGCCTGGCGCTACGCGTTCGCCAAGCTTTTGTTCAAAACACTTCATTAAACGAATCAACTAACTGATGGAAGCAAGTAACGCAGTGTATGCTATTGGATGAATCGACAGTGAATGGCACTCCGTCGAGGCACTTCTTGCAAACGGAACATACAAAACATCCTGGATGATAAGCACTTCCTGATGCACGTAATAATTTGTGCATTATCGGCTCTCCACAGCTCACACAGCGTTCTAATGAGTTCTGTAATCATCGCACACTTGTTGAACTGACTTCGGTCATAGCCGACAATAAGATGCTAATCACAAATTCGGAGGGTATAACTCGAAGGTGTGAGGATGAATCAAATTCATTCGGTGACATGGTAAAGAAGATGAACAAAAACAAGCCTTATAGTCTTGTTCGCAAAGCGGTTTTCCATCTACATTGTAAAACGAAGCACCAGCCAGTTGTTTGTTGCATTGTTTGCATGTGAAACAAGCCACATGAAACATCTGTTCGAGAGCGGTGCACCCAGGTCTTTCATTTGTTATTTCTTCACCGCACTTACAACAATTATCTACAAAGCAGATCATTCAGTTGATTTCCTCAGTCCTGTTTACTTTATGCCCATTTCTGTATCTAGCTTATCCAGTTCATGCCTTACCGCTACTAGCATCTACTTTTTTTAAGTTTTTGGTTTGAACTCTAAATGAAAAAGAATGGATCATGCCCATTTCTTCATTTAAGTTAACTTGACAAAACACTTGTGATGCTGTATGCCTGACCAATTCCTGAATCAATGACGTAGTCCTACACTGGTAGTAAAAAACCCCAGAATACGAATGAATTGTTCAAGTTGATATCAAACAGACAAATTTTAATGCAGAGTTATTCGACTTTCAATATGAAGACTTATTTCAAAGACTCTCACAAAAGCACATGGCTTGCGAAGACTTTGTTCGTGTGATCAGCTGAATGTAGGCGTTGATGAAAAAGAAAGCAACGTGTGTGCACTGATCAAGCGTATAAAAATTAACAAGACAGCTGCAAGAATGAGAACAGAAACGCAAAATGTGCCACTGACATTTTAACGCTTTAAGTTTATCACCTGAAGCGTGAAAATACCAAGTCTAATGTTTGAAAATGACGAAAACTGGCGAAGCAAGTTCAGGAAGACGGTTTTAAAACGAACTTAAATATTTCTGCTGAGAAAATACATGAATGTCCTAGAGGAATTAATAGACTTAATGTAAATGAAACAATTCAGTTCTGAAGCCCCTTATCCAGAAGTTATTAGTAATTCTAACGATGAAAATCAAAGTCTATTTTTGCTAATAGTTAATATGAAGTGGAAAGTTTGCTTGATTATTGTCATAGAAATAGTCTGATGAGTTTACGAGCAGAAAAAAAATGAAAGCTTTAGCAAAGCACATCACCAAACTCAAGCCGAGAAATTTTAGAATAATTAATGATGCTCTATCAATTGATTTTTGTATTCCAATTGATTTTTGTATTCATCATAAGGATAGGCCAAATCAGATGAGATTAAGGTGCTTTTGAAAGGAAAACAGCAAACGGAGAACTAATCCTTTGTTCAAAAATCGGGTAAGAAAAAGGACAAATTAGGATCGATCTGGTGAAGTAGCTGAATATACAGCGCAAGAATAGTGCTGGAATAAAGAATGAGAAATTGGGACATCAAATCAAAGATGAAAGTACAACGAAAGGTAATGTCGATGTTTCATAAGTCTAACTGCCACGAACGTAATCCAGTCGAATTATCCTAAAATGGAAGTGCCACCAGTCTACAATCTCTACAGAAATAAACATCTATAATCAGTTAATCATACGAATGTGTTATGGCATTTTTTTGCAATTAAATTTTCGAACACGCAGTTCTTCTCACGATCATTGCACACAGCAATTCGTTTTTCAACGAGTGAAAGTTAATCAAAAAGTATGTTTTTCCGAACGCTCCCCTAAAATAACAAATGAATTGAATGAAATAATAGGTGAATGTGTCGTACATCGGAAAGTTTACACGAGAAAATTCACAGATAACAATCTGTCGACGGTACACACTTTTATCGGAGAATGAAATCTTTTTTAGCATCCGCATAGTTACGGAACATACTCCAATTCGATTTGTTTTAAACTGCTATTTCTTAGTCGACTACTACACTGAAAGTTTTTCGTTCAGTTCATACGTCTTCTTCACATTTAATAGTCTTTTTCAACTGTAACATATATATTTCAACATATATAAAATATCCTAAAGGTAAGTAACCAATCAAAATCATCGAATAGTTCAAAAACCATAATTCTCATATTATCCAGTTCCAAACATAACTTTTGCTGAAGATAGCTCAGGATTAATGCACTTTGCGTCATCAATGAATTTCATGTTCGAAATCGATAAAACAATAATTTTTTAGGGTCAAGCGTAGTTGAGTCATTGAAAATTGATAACGAAATCGATTGCGAATCATGCGAAAGATCGTTTTGAGACAAATCAGTCTCATCATATTGGCATATTATTAGGGAACATCGTATTTAAATAGCTAACACGTAAAGACATTTTACAGAACACAGTCAAAAAGAAAACTCCAACGTTTTCGTTATACATATGACAAGAAGAACGAGGAAGTCTCAAATTATCGGTTACTTATCCTTCAATATTATCATGTATAATACTTTTATTAGTATTATGAAGCAAGCGAATCACAATATATTATATTATTTTGTTATGAGCTGCAGCAAAACTTGTAAATTTCTGAGGCTCATTTACAATGATATGTTTCTTATAGAAGCTTTATGCGTGCATACTGAACTCATGTGGATACTGGCAATGAATAAGTAAGATGGAGTAATTATCTGCTGGATGGATTGTGATCATTGTGTTCAATAACGTTTTGTAGCCTCTCATCTCGTTCAGTTTCACATTCCTTGAATTCACTCAAAAAACTTCGACCCGTTATATTTCGATAATTTGGAAATATTCATGGATGATGAATTCAAAGAAGAAATATTCATGAAAAAAAAAGAAATCAAAAGACGAGAGCTGACGTTCAAATTATATTTTCGCAGCCAGCAACAAACAATTGTTGTGCACCAATCACGATATTTTTCTAAATACTGTGCGATATAAATTCTAATTACTGATGATCTTTTTTCTCCGTCTACTTCTGTGCTTCCTCGCAACGTTTTGTTCAGGTTTGTTTGTAGCACAGCAACACTCTTTTTACAGTGTATTCTACCCGCTGCATATTTGATCAAGTTTTCTTCACTGGTATTCATGATGAGTTCTTTGTGAAATCGCGACAGATTCCGTGAACTTATAACAAGATTAGACATATCCAGCAAAACTCTTATGCATATCAATATTACTTATCAAATTAGGTTATGGCAGAAATCGACAATGCAATATTTAGAATCTAATTGATGTGTTATAAAACCGAAAACATGATTTTACATTGGACATTTGCTAAGCGTATAGTCGATAATCGAGATTGATAACAGTCTGATTTTGACTGTAGCGACTGCAAGATGATAGCAGTCAACTGCATATCACTAGTCAAGAAAACAACATGTGGTTAAGGGAATACCAAGGACTAATTGGCAAGTGGCAAGATCGTCAGGCTTTCAACACCTTGCAGTAAGTCTTCAGTCTCTTTCAACATCATTCTATTGCTCTATAAAAATAAACATCGAACTATGCACGTACAACAATGAACTGTCAGTTAACATGAACGCAAATCTCAATAATTCCGCAGAATGTAAAAATAATCACTGACGTGCATACGATTCATTCATTTATCTATGCCAGTGGTTCTCAACCTTTTCTGCCCCGTGGACCCCCCAGAAAATTTTAAGATGCTCTCGTACCTCCTACCTTACCTCGCACACCCTCCAGCACTCCTCACTCACCGCCTCTCACCCCACTTTCTCTCGGACCTCCAGGGGGTGCATGGACCCCAGGTTGAGAAACCCTGATCTAGGCTATATGATAAAACTTATATTCACGCAAGCGAATACGATACGGCATTGAACTGACCAGGAATTGATGGAACGGATGACATAACCAGCTTGTTGAGGCTCTTTGCAAACACAGACACATGCACACTGCAATCGCTCGCTTCACAATGATAATGTGCGCTGCTCTTATATCGGTTCATTATTTTTGTGTTTTATTTCTGCCACCCTCTATCAAACTTGAAGATATTTTCGGCAATCTTATCCTCCCTTGATCCTCACCTACACACTTCTCTAATTTTCTTTCATACCTCATAAATACACTCTCAGCACATTTCTGCAATAGAATGAACACTCCCACACTAATTGCTCTCGACTAGCTGGCAAACGGTGTTTTTTATCTCGACCAAACTAACCAAGAATTTTCGACTACTCTTTATGCGTCTACACTAATTTTGGTATATCAGTGTTGATGTGTCCTAATCTTTCTATATAGTGCTAATATTTCACTCTTATCCACACGAAAACTATTAAAAGAAGCAATTGTCATCTATTCAACGCAATTACAAGTTTATCGCATAAAACACAGAGTTATAGTGAACTGAAAAATTAGTTCAACAATGAATTAGATTTTGTTGTAAGTATCGATCTTGCTAACCATTTTAAATCATAGATATTATATGAAGGAAATGTTTAAAGTAATTTCTGCTGGGCTTCCTTGCAATGGATATAGTTTGAAGTGAATAATAAAACATTGAGGTGTTAAGCACATTCTATTGAAACAACAAAATGTATTTTGTTAAACTGACTAAAAGCTGTGTAAAAAGTATCTCATTCGATCAGAGTGTCAGCTGTGTTCGATCGACTGCTCGAATCGCTTGTAATCGACTTCCATCCTATTTTTTATTCGATCGCAAATTGGAGAGTATTCCGCAAAATAAACAACCCATGATTGTTGAGTTCGATTCGATACTAACTATTGAATGACCATAGAGGAAGAAACTATCCAACTACCTCTCTATGCAAATAGTTCAAATGAGAACCAGAACTTATTCTGATGAGTGTATAATTGTTGATCACAACAATTATACACTATATCAAATACTCGCGATTCCAATCACAAAAATATCCCTTCGAATTTTTTATTTGTTTTTCTTTTGAAATATAAAGCACTCAGTTAAAGAAGATGACTGTAGACTTCATGTTTTTCCAAATCGCAGTTTTCACAGAAGAACACCGAACTTTTTTGTTAATTTCAGCTAGATGAAAATAACTTTTACAACATTTACTGTGTAAAAGTCATGAAGTATGATGATAACGTGTGCCAGTGATGAAGTATCATCGAAGCGCAATGTATTCGGAACTAACATCCGAAACATCTATTTCAAGCAAAAAATAAGCAAGTGAAGGCCGCACGTAAATTGAAACAACAACTAAGTTAGAATGCAATTAGAGAAATTACGCTGAATGTTGCAAAGAAAGAATATTCATTTCATTCCATTTCCATTAATTAACAGAACCAATCGTCAAAATTGACTGACTCTTAAGCATGATAAACAAGCAAATGAATAACTGTTATCTTAACAACTTTGCAATGTCCAAAGCACAATCTATTAATTCAATTTCGAAATCTGAGACAAAATCTAAAAAACTGAGTAAATTATACTCTAATTTCATTTCTAACAAAATCAACGCTACCCATACTTTCTCCAGCAGCACCGACACCGGTTTTCATTTTCCATTCCATATCACGAATCAATGAGTCAATCTGATCACCGTTTTGCGATCGCTCTTGCTATAATATTCACCATTACTTTTAGTGCTGTCATTGTTTTTGTTACTGCTGTTATTATTAGTAGTATTACTGTTAACATTATCATTATCATTATATTTATCACTGTTACTATTATTGCCAAACTATTACGTTTATTATAATCTGAGTTTATTTGTTTGACTACGAGAAAGTTTTGGTGATTGTTGCATTTGGAGAGCAGATAATGGTTACTAAATAGCAATGACAACATTGGGTAGTAGTGGTGATAATTGTAGTGATGATCGTCACTGTTTTATCATTAATAATGATTATAAAAATATAACCAATTGCAGTACTCACACGATAGAGATTATGCAAAGTTGGAGGGGGTGTAACGTCTCGCAAATGCGACTGTTTGAATTGATTAGCGATTCGCTGTGATTTTGTTAAACCTGAAACTGAGGGAAAGAATAAATTAAGAAAGTGAATGAGTGTTATGATCAAAAAGTGCATTCTCGATCTTAAATATAAAAGAGCAACATTTTGTCACTGATCAGCATTTGCTTAGGCGACAAATAACGTAACACTTTTTTTAACACTCACAGACACTTAATATAACTCAATAGATCAACGCCTATCGATAATGTCGAACGTAGGCCAATGACGGCTTTCAGTTCTTTTAGAATCTTCAGAATAATTTTCGCTCCATTAACTGATCATAAATGTGTGAATGAGCAGATGGCTTTCTATTACCTTGTTCATCAGCTAAAATATAAAATGAGTACCAAACAACAAGTTGCTATGAAAAGTTTTGTGAATACAAGCAAAATATGCGTGAAGATTTTATATCAAATTGTTAGCATACGTATGACAATA